CCCCCGGACCCCCGGACCCCCGCCGGGGCCCCGGGGCCGGGGCTCGACAACCCTGGTTTCAACCCACCAAGCATCTCTACTTTTATGATCCTTACAGTAATATGCACTGCGGACAACTTTGATGTCTTCCATGGTCATGCGAGCGCAACAATCTTGTTTACAACAAACTTGTCCACGCACACTCGCCCGTGCTTTTTTGGTGAGCTTTCTGTGAACTGTTTGCAGAATCTTCTTTGACCGCGGCATTCTGACACGAAAAGTATAAGGACGCTTCTCAGACGACAAACGTTTTGGGAAAATGTCATCAAAATCAGAGATGACATCAGAACTCTCCATACCGTTGCGACAATTGCGGTCAGTGCCATCATCATCGCAAGTTTGTGGATGATCAATTTTGTCTGGAGAACTGTTGGCGTCAGATGACATCGAAGCACGAGATTCCGAACCATCTTCATCACTCTCGCCAAACAGAAGGCCTGTGCACTTGAAATCTCGTAGCGAACTTCTCGGCACCCACATGATACGATCTACATCGGATGTGTTCCTGTCACCGGCGCAACCCCTACCCTGACCTTCCGAACCTTCTGCCTCAGATGTTTTCACTGGTCCGCCCAAGGCTGGAGATGCACTTTCGCATATGGTTTCTTCACACGCAGCCATTCGGGACCTTTTATGATCACGAGATTCTGGAGTTAATTGAACGTCTTGCGAAAACATTGGCAGGTCCGGCGGAGGGAACTCATCATTAGGCAGTATATTAGATGCCACACAGTACATGCTTTCCAAAGTTGTGCTGGCAGCTTGCCGTGGTGCATGCCCACCACAAGCCATTTAAAACGTTTCTGCGATGACAAAACAGTGGACCATTGGCACAAGACATGCATATCAGTAACAAATCCGCAGTTAGATGGATCACACGCGGTATATATAGAGTGCAACACATGTGGTTCAGCGCGGCCACTGCTAGCCACACACAACCGATGTAAAAGATCAGGCCCGTGAACGCGAAAAGAGACACAGTCTTCAACAGAAGCAATGCACAAGAGACACGGCGACTGGCTGTCGTGTTGAACTCGCTGATCTCCCGCCGCGGTCGTGTTGAACACGACGACTCATCATCGCATTGCACAACACGACAGGCGCACGCAGCAACAGTCACCGTCGCCGTATTCTCACGACGGCGCAGTCATGTTCAACATGTCCGCACTCGACCGTTGTCTTGTCGCGCTCGATACCCGTGTCTGCATGACAGCCACCGTCGTCGTGTTGAAGACGACGATGAGCGACCGTCGGCGTGTTGAACACGACGGTGCTTTTGTGGTGAACATGTCCGTGCTCGACCATCGTTGTGTTGAACATTACCACAGGCACAGCGGCGATCCAACGCGGTCGAGTTCAACACTACAAAAGCGACCGTCATCGCATTGAACACGACCGTGGGGCCGTGGGTAGCCACCGCGGTCGTGCTCGACACGATGACAACGACTGTCCTTGTGTTGAACACGACGATGGGGTCGACCGTCATCACATTGAACACGACCGTGGGGTCGTGGGTAGCCACCGCGGTCGTGTTCGACACGATGACAGCGACCGTCATCGTGTTGAACACGACGATGGGGTCGTGTTCAGCACGTGGTGTACATGCCCGCGCTCGACCGTCATCGTATTGAACTTGACCATGGGATCGTGGGGTGCCACTGCGATCATGTTCGACACGATGACAACGACCGTCATCGGGTTGAACGCGACGGTGGGGTCGGGGGGTGCCACCGCGGTCGTGTTCGACACGATGACAGCGACCGTCATCGGGTTGAACACGACGGTGGGGTCGTGTTCAGCACGTGGCGTACACGACCGCGCTTCAACCGTCATCGTGTCGAACACAACGGTCGTCGTGTCGGACTCGATGATGGACGGCTCTGTGAACTGTGGGAGAAATTTTGTTGACGTCCTGAAAAACCACGAATGACGAATAATGGAAGGGGATGGGCGTGATTGGGGGGTT